GGGCTATTGGGGCGGCGCCAGCCGTAATGGCTGCAATTACCCTAACGACGCCCCTCCGGGCGTCCTCCTGTCCTCCCTACGCCCCGGGGGACAGCTTTCCCGACCCTGCTCCCCTGGATGCCAGACGCGCCGCGCACCGAGCTTCGCCCTTCGCAGGTGGGGTGGGGATCCCAGGCTTGGAGCCAGTGGGAGTGGCTTCCTAACCCTCCCAGCTGGGGGACTTCCCCGTCCCGTAGATAGGAAAATCGAGGCTCGATCAAGGCCCCTGCCCGTAGCCCGAGGGCTCCCACCCATCCTTGCGCGATTCGCCCCAAGCAGGGTGGAGTGCACCTCGCTTCACCTGGGAGTCGCCGACAGAAGGAGGGAGGGGACCCAGTGGCACCTCTGGCCTGTCAGTGGGCCGCCGGAATCCTCTGCCCAGGGACCCCTGGCAGACCTTCCCTTTTAACCCCGGAGATCCCGGAAGCTTCTCCACCCTCTTCCCCAGATATTCACTCCCTCGCTTTCTCCCTAATTATACCGTGGGTGGGGCTGGCACCCAGCCTGGGTCCCAGATTCCTGCTCTGGGAGGGGCCGGGAATACAAGCTTCTCCCAGTGCCCGAAACACCCCTTCTGGAGCTGGAGCCATGGGGATTTCCCCAGGGTCCCCCGTTCCAAGAAATTTTCCAAGGTGGGGAAAAGGGGTGCCACGTCCCAGGGAGCCGAGAGTGGTAGGAAAGTGGGCGATTGTGGTGGTGATGCGGAGAAGGCACACCTACCTACACCTACGGGACACACTGAGAAACAGTGAGAAGCCAGAACGCGGAAGGGGACGGAGGGGTGAGGCAGGCTGAAGAACCGGGAGGAAAGACCAGAGACAGAAGCACGGGCTTGGGACCAGGCCACGGAGCAGAGGGCGCTGTGTCCCCAGTGGCCACCTCACACCCCGAGCCACAGGAGGCCAGGGCTGCAGGGAGCGTGGGCCAACTCTCATTCAAGTGAGGCACTCACAGAGGTCACACAGCAAGCCTGCCTCCCAGCCAGGGCGCCCTAGCTCTGCTCTGGGCTTACTCCTCACCCCAGCCGCCGCCTCTGTGAGGGGCAGGGGGTCAGGCAGAGGAGAGCCTGAGGCCTGGGCTCTCTGTGGGGCAGCAAGAACTGCGTTAAGTCAGAGGCGGCCCAGCTCTGCCCTGTGCTGTCTGCGACGCCCCCAGCCGTCTGTAGCTATCAAGCACGGGGCTTGTGGCAAGTTTGACAGAGGAATTACGTTTCTGATTTTATGTAATTTTAAGTAGCCATATGTGGATAGCGGCCGGCAGGTGGTATGGTGGTTAAGGGCCTGGACTCCCACATGGCTGATTGTGGTTCAAGCCCCAGACCAATGGCTTCTTTCTCACTTTCTTTCTCTCTGTGTCCATCTCTGGTCAAATGAAAGAAATAAATACATAGTTAAATAAAATAATTCTTAAAAAAATAGCCATACGTGGCTAGCAGCTTTCTTAGGGCCAACACAGGTCTCAATGAACTCCCTACCTGTCCTGGAGCTTGGAAAAAACTGCTGGCTCCCTTTGGCTGAGTGTGCCCGTATGCAGGCTGACTTAAACAATGCACAGTTGTACAAATAAGGAAACTGAGCCTGAATCAAGGTAGTATCGCCTGGTAGTTAGTTCTTGGGGTCAGCCAGGTGGCACGGTGGTTAAGGTGGCTGGGTCCCACACCGCAGACTGCATAGTTCAAGTCCCAGACCTGGTGATTTCTCACTTTCCCTCTCTCCCTCTCTCTGTCCCTAGTGAGTACACGCACCCTATAGCAAAAACAAATAAATGCAGTTAAAAAAAAAAAGGAAAAAGAGTTCTACTTGCTTCAGATCCTTGCTCTTCTGCTTACTGGTTGTAACCAGGAGCAGGTGACTTTGCTTCTCTGTGCCTTTGTTTCCCTGTCTGTAAAATACGTACAACAGTACTAACCTCTGGGAACCAGCAGTTAGCGTAATGGCTATGTCACTGGACTCCCACGTAGTCGACCGCGGTTCATGTCCCAGACCCGGTGGCTTAAAACTCACGCCGGGCGCGTGTGCATGCGTGCCCAAGATCCCGAGAGGAGAATGGAGGAGAAGGGATTGCGGTGTGACCATCCCCCCTGGGGGGTGATTTCTCGCTTTCTGTCTCTATGTCTCTCTCTGTCTGTCTGGGGAGCACACACGCCCTATAGCAAAAACCTCTCCAAAACAAACAAACAAAACCAAACCAATACTAACCTCACAGGGTTCTGTGAAGATTAAGTTAGTTGAGACCTTTAGAAGCCCCTTGGGGGGCCAGTAGGTGGTGTAGTGGTGAAGATGCTGAACTCAAATGGCCAACTGCCATTTGAGTCCCGGACCTGGTGGTGTCAAAGTCATACCAGACACCTGTGCATGTGTGCCCCAAATCCCAGGAGAACGGAGGAGAAGGAAATGTGGCATGGACATCCCCCTGAGGGGGATTTCTCACTTTCCCTTCTCTGTCTCTGTCTCCCTCCTCTCTGGTGGGCACATGCACCCTAAGGCAAAATCCTCAAAAAAGAACGAACTAAACAAAAGCTCCTTGGGCCGGAGGCTGGCACATAATAGGTACTCAATAGATGCATTCATTCAACGGATATTTATTGACATCTCAGTGTACTTGCACTGTCTCTGGGGCTGTGAAGACGGCGACGATCATGTCCAGAGTCACAGGTTACTCTGAGCCGGGATTTGAACCCAGACCTCACTGATTCCAAACCTCAGGTTGATTATTAAACTACAGTATCTCCTACAATCAAGGAGACCGGAAGAAAGTACATCGAGGGGCTCGGCTTGGGTTTCTCCTTAGCAGAATGAACAGGACTCAAATCACCTCGTGGAGACGGGGCACACAGCTGCGGTCCCGTCTAATTGTTCCTCATGGTCTCCTGGACCCAGTCCACAAACTTGCAGACCTTGGTGTAGACCCCGGGCTTCCTGGTGACAGCACATGGGTCCTGGCCCCAGGAGATGATGCCTTGCAGAGACCCGTTGCAGACCAGGGGGCCCCCGGAATCACCCTGAGTGAGAGAGAACCCGTCAGAGAGGGTGGCCCCGTAGGCGGAGCGGGAAGGGCTAGGGTGAGGGAGGCTGGGGTCACTCTGGGGTTATGTAGGGGTGGGGATGAGGAGGAGGTCAGGGATGAAATGGGGTCTCCAGGTAGGGCTGAGGTCAGAGGGACGTGTGGATGGAGGTGAGCTAGGGGTGGAGGAGGTGGGATTGGGCTGGAGATGACTTTGCCCATGTGGCCCGGGGTGGGTGCCCTGTGCGCGGGGTGGGGGTGCGACCGCCGGCCCTGCCTCTGACCTGGCAGGAGTCCTTGCCCTCTTCCCGCACGCTGGCGCACACCATGGTGTCGGTGATGTTGCCCGGGTAGGCGTCCTCACACTCGCCTTGCTCGATGATCGAGATGTTGGCACAGCGCAGGGTGTGCGGCAGGTGTACTGCGGGGACAGCGCTGCTGTGGGCGGGCCCCTGCACCGACGGGCGGCCCCTGCCCGGGGCCCACCCCTACCCGCCCTCCCCTACCCTCTCCAATCCAATCCGACCCGGGGTGGGCGCAGCTGTTCTCACTTTGCGGAGAGGGAGGCCCAGGATCCACGGGTTAAGCCGCCGGCTCCCAGGCCAGCACTTCCGCCCCGCCCTCCCTAGCCCCGACGGGGTCTCCCTCCATCCACACCTCCAGGGCCCTCTTGTTCCTCTCTGAATCTCCTCTTTGAGGGTTTTCTGGTTTTCTCCCCAAGCACGACCACCCCATCCCAGCCGCGCTCGCCCTGGGCCCCTACACTGGGGGCTGGACGTGGTGCCCCAGCCCGAAATGAGGCAGCGGGTGCCGGCGGTGACACAGCGCTTCGACAGGGTGAGCGGTTGCACGGCCCGGGTGAAGCGGGCTGGGGCCTCCATTTTCACCAGCATGATGTCGTTGCGGTGGTCTTTGTTGGGGAGGCTGTTGTTGAAGCCCGGGTGCGGGAAGGACTGGGTGGCCATGCGGGTCTGCTCGCAGCCGTCCTGCCGCTGCAGGTTGTGCTCCCCCAGGTGCACGATGTAGCTGCTGCGGGGCGAGACGCGGCGGTCAGGGGTCGCGGGGCGCCGCGCGCAGGGGGAGGTCCGGGGGCGGCGAGGGCGAGGCGACCCCAGCTTCAAGGGTAAAGGAACAGAGCTCCGCTTCCAGCCTCACCCCCTCCCCCTGAGGCCTCGGCCGGCCCTCTCCCAACACCACCCGGTCCATAGCCACCCACTCCCCACCTTCCAGCTCAGCCGGACGCTGGCTCCCGGGTAACACTTCCGTGCGGAGCTAACACTCCCGTGCGGGTCTCCGCCGAGGCCCTTACCCC